AATCAACATGCAGCCTATGCCAAACTTTTGATGGATAAGACCAAGGGTGCAGTGGTACAGGCTGCGTGGCTGGTTGCACGACTTGACAAACCCGACAGGTTCGCACGTAGTCTTCTACTGCTTTATCACGGCCTGGCAACCAAATGAAGCCCCTAGCCAGCATTTTCATCCTTGAGGTACCTGGGTGGTCCCCATGTAGCAAAGACAACACAGCCGATTGCAATGCATCGGGCACGATCAACCTTGCGCCCCACATGGCGCAACCTTACTAGAGTGATAATTCTAGACGTCTAACGCAGTATGGCTGGAGTTCGTTAGACACTTTTGAAGGTCAGCCGTATCGCGGGTACTCGACCACTCTGCACAGTTTTTTATCATGTGCAGTGGCTTTAGCTACGTCAGAAGAGTTCAACGGGGCGCTTTCAAACACAGAAAGGCATTCCGAACGCTTAGATTTAGGACAAGATGGTACAGCTAGACGAGGTTGAGTGTCAGCCACTTAGATTTCAGCCCTGTGCGACACTGAAGCGTATACGGGTACGCTGACATTATTAAGGACCATCTTTGTAGCTTGGCAGCTGCTAGTGAAGGGGTTGCTTACGTGTTGCTGATGGTCCATGTACAACAAACTTTCTACCAAAAAGAAACTTGTGGAACTTTTTAAGTCCAGATATAATTAAGTACAAAGGCCTCTCTTTCACATTGTGCGTAATCTTTCTCGGCTGACGTTAGCGCTCGTGAAGCAAAAGCTATCGGACGCTCTTCTCCTTTCGGCAGCACATGAAAAATAACCACTCCAACGCCATACGCAGACGCATCACCTTGCTACCCGAGCGGCTTGCGGGCGTCGTAGTAGGTACGCTTATTTGCACGGCTCTTTGCAAGATATGCTTAGTCGCTTTGAAAGCATTACTACACAGCTTCGACCACAGCCATCACCTTTCCTTCCGCAACAAACGGTACATTGTTTCTGCTACAGATTACATATTCTTCATATACTTGCAGTAAAAATATGGCAGACCTAGTTATGCTCCTAATTCTGTTACATATGTAGGTTCAGGAGCGTGCAGGATTGCCTTCACTTTCTCTTCTGTAGCGTAGATGCCATCAGCGCTTACCTTGTGGCCAAAGTACGAGACAGAAACTTGGCAAAGCTCGCATTTTGCAAGCTTTAAGGTTATGTTATACCCTAAAAGCTTGCCCAGCATTCGCTCGAGTGTTTTCTGCCAATCTTCCACGTTCTGGAGAGCAACTATGACATTATCAATATAACAACCAGCACTTGGAATACCAAGCAAAACGTTATCCATCATGTTCTGAAACAAAACAGGGACACTGGATACTTCTTAAGGAAGTCTGTTATACTGATAGAGTCCCTTATGCATGTTAACTGTCAGAATCTGTCTTGATTCTTCGCTCAGTACCATTGGTTGGTATGCCGATGACAAATATAAGACACAAAATTCCTTGCCTCCAAAAAAATGCTGTGAACAACTAATCTGGTTGTGGTAGTGGGTAGTGGTCCTCTTTAGGTACAGGGTTTACAGTGATTTTGTAATAACCACAGAGGCGTATTAGTTCGCCTTGCTTCTTTGGGACCAAAACAAGTGAAGTTGCCCAATCGCTTCTACTCACAGGCATGATAACACCTTAGCTTTCTAGCTCAGCGAGGTGTTTTCGCGCTTGTTCGTGCAAAGGAAAAAGGAAGTGAGCGTGCGTTGCTAGACACCGGCTTACAACCAGGCTGCAAGACAACTTCCACCTTGAAATTCCTAATGGCACCAAGTGATTGTGAAAGCACGTTCGGAAACTTCGTGCGAACCTTATCTGCTCTGTCTTCGGTGCGTACACTGCAAAGCAATTTTCAATACAGCCGAAACTTATTAAGCCAGGTTTGTCCTAGCAATACAGGTAACTCGCACTCATGATCCTTGACGACAACAATTGGTAAAAGCCCCCTCTGTCCTTCATAGGTTGCAGTTACACTACATTGCCCTACGACATCCATTTTCTCGCCTGCATGTGTACGTCTTTAGAACAAACAGACTTGGTTCATAATTCACATGCGACAACTTTTCTTTGTGCACACTTTCAGGTACAACTGTCACTGCAGCCCCCATGCTCAACTGCATTGACACTTTCTGGTCCTCCAATTTTACAGTAACCACGTAACCATTCTTTACAGATGTGTCGTCTGTACCGAGTTCCTCAGAGCAGTTGTACAGAGTGTGCTCCTCTTCTTCTGACGATTACATTACTGTATGTGTCTTCAGCTTATTTTCGCTCGCCCGACACATGTTTTGTAGGTGTCCAACGTCTGAACATAGCTTGCACGAGTAGTTTTTGTACCAGCAACGTTCTGGCGCATGCGTCTTGCCACAGCGGTAACAAATTTGTTTCTTGGTCTTGTTTCGCGGCCCACTTTTAGCCTTCGCTTGGTCCCGGTCACTGTTCTGGTGCTCCATAGCTTTGAGTTTCACTGCGTTTATGTTCTCCGCCTGACTTCCTGCTTGTATTGTGGCTGTTTGTTTCGCAGCCAATTCACTGTCAAGAGCTATTTTGCATGCCCTGTCGGAGGTGAATGCGTTCGCCGTAAATAACGCCTTCTTTGTTTTTTCACTTCAAATTTCCCAATCTGTCGCGTAGGGCGTGCCAGAGGAATTCCCCGAAGTCACATTTTCTGGCTAGATGCTTCAATTCTACCACAAAATGTTCGACACTTTCGTGGTCACGTTGCATTCGGTGGGTAAATTTGTACATTTCTGCAATTATAGACGTCTTCAGGATGTAGTGGCTTTGCAATAGTTTTTTTTTACTTCCCCGAAGGTCTTATCTTCTGGCAGTAATGGAATAACCAAGTTCTTGAGAACTTCATACGCTTCTGCACCAATTACTGTCAAGAACCCGGACAATTTCTTCTCGTCTACTATCTAGTTTGCCCCGACGTAATGCTCAAATCGTTCGACATAGGATTTGAAGTTTTGAACCTTAGGGTCGTACTCGTCTAGTTTGCCGAGGCGGTACATGGCTTGGTAGAAGAAGTAAATGTAACTTGATTGACTTTTGGATTCGTTTTTGGCCTATGTTTGCGGCGCCTCCAGTAGTAGCGTGGTCTGGTCGAGCCATAACATCCTCGTTGATGGTGTCCAGTAGGCCCTGTTACGGCGGTCCCACCCTCATCGCCAGATGAACTAACGCATAAGAGCGACAACAACTCAGAAGCACAGAGGCAACCGGCGTTATTGACGAGAACGACTTCTTCTTATACACAAGAATGCTTTGACGTTACAGGTTATCACGAAAGACGTCACACAAAAGTTCGCGATAGAAAGATAGATAGATAGATAGATAGATAGATAGATAGATAGATAGATAGGTAGATAGAAAATTTTTTCGCAAATAAATTACTTGCATTGAAAATCCTTATTGAGCCATGGAATGATATAACAATGTCGGTTACATGATAAAAGGTCACCTAAAATAACGTAAAAGTAGTCATGTAACTACTTATACATGAAACAAGTAATGTGAATTCAATTACCAACCAGTCACATGAAAACATCACGCAACTTTCATCAGTACACTCATGAATGTTGCGTGGCTTTTTCATGTGACCTTCTCATTGAAGCTATAGCTTGAATTTTTCGTTTTTTTTTTTGTTTTCGAGAATTTAGGTTTCCGTTATTTTTCAGCATGGAGACCCACCAGCCAACATTTATTGCCCTAAGTGATAATGGGGCATGAAGACATTGATGTAAATTGATTATTTCACCATAGATCAAAACGAACGTATTCTGCGCAGTTACTTTTTATTGTTATGACTGTAATATTTCAAAGACTGGTTTTGCTATAGGTGAGTTCAAAATCAGGCGAACACTAGCTCGGCTGTTTGGTTTTTCGTTCTAATTTGTTTTTGTGGTATAGAAATTTGCGCTCCTTTATTATTTGTATTTGTGGCTTGTGACCAGTGCATGAAAAGCAAAAAAAATTGAATCGTAACATTACTAACTCAAGCCAATAACGTTTTTCTTTACTAAAATGTTGATTTGGAAACGCCACACAGTAATCGCAGAAAACGTTCAAATTAATTTGGCTCTCAATAAATTGTCGTGCCGCTTTTTCATTACGCGAGCTACTGAGTTCGTACAATTGCTTCGTCTGAACAGCTTGTGGACGTAGACTGCAGAAAGCAGCTGCGTTGCCGAGTGAGTCTGATGCCGTGCCAATTTTCTTGCGTGCACGGCGTATTGTAGTTTAAGTTGTTTTTCTTTCTTGGAAAGCTCATTTTCTTTGCATCCGTAGTTCTCACTCAGCACTATAGATAGCGTTATAGCTTATGATATTTTCACGGCTTAAGTATCCGGCACAAGAATACAGTTCATGGTGTTAACATTTGAGACCGCCCTTTTGTACCAAACAAGGATGCACGCCGCTTCCTATATTGCGCATAAGAAGGAATGCCATTACCAATAAAGCTTGACTTAGTAACTCAAGAAACACCTTCAGCGAGAACATGGAATTGATTTCTGCAGGATTTCAAATAATCAAGTCGACAGCGCTTTAGGTGCACCTTTTGCTACAGGACAATACGTAACAGGTTTTTGTGTCGTCCGTACGAAATTTTTGTTGGGGATCCAGCCTGGCTTTTTCTTAACCAAGGCTTCCACCTTCAAATGACGAGCTTAGTACAAAAATGCATATGTCTCAGGGTTTCCCAGTAGCGTGCTACAAAAGCTAATATATGTGCTATTATGGGACTGAAAAAATCATCGAGAACCGATGGTCTGCTACCACGCATTGCACTTGGGGCGTCCGCATCATTGTGCCTCCTGCTGCCGTTCTTTGCCCAAGCTTCACTGGCTTTGAGAGCGCCAGTCACTTATGGTAAAAATGTATCAGAGGCAGTGGTGTCTACGAGCTCGAACCACCGTGTCGGTGAAAGCAACGAAAAAGACAACGTACAGGTTCTTCGAGATGTGGTGACAGCCAGCATTTCCAAAATGCCGAACTCTTTGGTAAGCAAGCTTCTGGCTGCGGAAGTGCGGCCTGAGTGCAACAAGGCACTGTTGCGGACCGTGCGAGCCTTGCAGAGCTTGGAACCGTGGGTGCTAAGACGTGAGTACATGTTTTGCGTATAAATTATTCTGTTATTCAAATTCTTGCGTGCACTTTGTTATTCAATAAGAGTCCCAGCTTACTGACCACTTTAACACGACATGTAGAGTTAAAGAGCTCTGTTCGCACAAATTTCGGAGCCTGCGTCGACGTAAGTGTCAGTGTGAGCGTGGTCATCGGCGTGGGCGTAGTTAGTTATGAGCAAAAGATTCTCATCTTGTGCGTGACTAAAAAATTAAAAAATAAAAATTAATAATCATTAAAAATTTCAAATCAGAGTATGGGTCACATTAGGCCGTTCGAGTGGCAAGCAGGTGTTCTGTGACTCATGTAAACCTCTTTTTTTTAACGGAAATTATTCCGTAAAACATTACAATAATTCAATACACAATATGTTGATTCTTCTTCTATTGCGACACAATGAGGAACACACAACGCAACCCTACCTCTTCTTGGAAAAGCACTTCAATGAACATCCTCTCTTCGGAAATCCAGGTAAAATAACGTTCATGCTTCACAAACAAACGTGCACTGTGCACTGGCTTTGTACTACATAAAATAACACAGTAATGTTGCGTGGTACAAGCGTTCATTGCTATCGGGCGTGAGAGCATATGATTATTGTAACGATGTCGTGGTTTAACGCTGGCTACCGATTGAAAAAGACGCGCGTTACTGCGCATATTACCTTTATACCATCTAGTGGGTACATAGCAAGTTCGACAATATCTCGGGCAGATGGGGCTCGTGGTTTAAATGATGATAGCTATTAGACAAAATGCACGCATATGTGGAAGCTTCACTGATACAAGTCACTTTTACATTTGTCGATTACATTGTAGTACACGTAAATTTGAACTTCTCGAGTAACAGCATAAAATTAAAATAGCATACACAAAGAGTTTCAACTGTGTACTAAGTACAACACATCGCTATCGCGTTCAACTTTGAAAGTTGAAGCATAATAATCCTCGAAGCTATTTCACAGCATTGCAATAGGCATGCTTAATTCGGGTAATCTTACTCGTCATGTATTCGCTCATCCTGAGAAGTCTCTTCGTGGCAGATCTAGTTCCGATTCTCCTAATTTATAGCATGTGGATTTTCGTATGATTTATTCGTTTATTATACCCACATGGTTCAACAAAGCTGAATTAGCTTCGGTGACTTCAACATGTAATCAATACAGCAGGGTAGACAAATGCTTACCCCCTGAAGTTAGCTCGGTTCAAAAAGCATTCGCAGAATCAGCAGGCAAGGTTTCGCAGTCTTTTGGTGTGCAATGAAATGAACAATCAAACAATTGGTGGAACTCACTGATATAGAAGATCTACAATATGGCTCACGCGTGCGAAAATAGTATGGATAAAAAGTGTATTTCCGATTTTTTAAGATATCTGGTGGTACAGTCATTGAGCTAAGGTGAGAAGTTTTATGCAGTTTGGCAGTAGCTTTTCATACGACCTGAACTTGTAGAAGAAATATTAGATAAATGAGTATGAATTGTCAAATAGCTATCAGTAAATGAAGTTGTCATTACCAGTCGCATGAGTTAGTTTTTTTGCGTCTACAGTGCCTGTGCCAACATTTGATCACAAGTGCACCTTCGCGAAGCTGCCATATTTGGAGTAGTTGGGGTTTAAGGGTATTTCAGAGAAAATTGATTGAGATTGCAACTAAAGTAATAATAATAATAATAATAATAATAATAATAATAATAATAATAATAATAATAATAATAATAATAATAATAATAATAATAATAATATTTGTGGGGTTTAACGTCTTCAAACCACTATATCATTAGGGGAGACGCCCTAGTGGAGGGTTCTAGATATTACAACCACCTGGGGCTTTTTAACGTGCACGAAAATCTAAGCGCACGGGCCTTAAGCATTTTTACCTGGATCGGGAAAGGGGCTGCTGCGGCCGGGATTCAATCCCGTTACCTGCGGGCCAGCAGCCGAGTGCCTTAGCCATGAGGTCGCAACTCAGCGTCTGCATAGTTGTCTGCATGGGCTTTTGATTACAACAAAAAAGTCAGTTTCGGTCTAAGGCAAGCAATGAATGTGATAGCGTAAAATTGAAATGTCACACGAAGGAGGACAAGCAGCTCGCTACGTTCAGCACACAACTGAAACACAAAGAAGGACGCTCAAAAAGAACTCCCAGGTATAGGACACAGGACAAGCGTGAACTAACAACTGTCGAAGGGGCTGCGTCTTTGTGTTTGAACCTCACGTTTCAAGTGTTAACAATGCAGAAACCGATGCTCTCAGATACTTTGTTTTTAACTGCAGCACGAGCGCTGACCTTTCTGCGTCTGTTGCTGCGTGGCACCGTATGACGCAAGGTGTACCTAGAGTTACTGTATATATAACTCCTTTAAAGGCAGCATATAAAGTAACCCATTGGGTACCCAGTGTTCTTAATACTTATATTCGAACGATGTTATAGTTGGGGCTTGTCTCTTGTCCATAGCCGAAGCCAACGCTAGTACTTAGAGCTCCCACTAGATGGCTCTGCGAGAGAGTACTCTATGCCATGCGCGAGAGCACTTATGGCAAGGATGCGTGAGCCACCACCCGATCTAAAGGGCACAGCCGCACACATCCATCTATCCATCTTCTCCAGCTCTGGTGTGAGTTAAATCCGCTAGAGGCGTTGCGGTACTCTGTATATTAAAAGCGATTACTCATGACTCGCAAACACAGCGTAGTGGTATAAATGAAGCCATGAGAATGAATGCGGCGGAGTGAGTGCTCGCAAAGTGTCTACAACCGTTAACTTCTACAGTAATGAATGAAAAACACCTCTTTATAAATTTTTAAGTTAGCCCACGCCTGCTTCACATACTATTCAGGGTGCCTTCTGCAGGGAGATGCATGCCACTTTTTCGTGCGCCCATTTTTGAGGGCAGTTTTCAAAATTAGATATGTCCTAGTGCAGCGTGATTAAAAACACGTTCAGGTTTCGCCGAGATTTGCATGCCGCTAGCGGTACGGTGAATACAAATAGCTCATTGCTATTAGGTCAGCGTCAGCATTGCACGAGCTATAAAATTGCCAATGAGTGTGATGCTGAGTGAGGGTCACTCGGCTGAATCACCAGTTGGGTACTTGGAAGCTTTTCTTCTGTTTTATATTTACTTGTGACGTTCTCCTTAATATTTACATGCGTATACATATCTTGGACATGGCAGTGCTGAAAATGGTGAAAATCCACCGAGAGTGTCACATAATTGCAATCGCATTATGGAAAGTTGATGGGCATCTGGTCACAATAATGTTGCCATGCTTCAAGGTACATTTTCTGTAAACTTCTGTTCCACAGTTATCGACGCCACAGGGAAGTACCCAACGGGCTTCTTGGAAGCATCTCACGTCGACATGGGCGCGTTCGACCAGTGCCTCGAGACCTTTGTGCGGGACCGCAGCGGCACCGTGGTGTCCCGGGGCCAATACTGCAACTTGCATGTCTACGCTAAGAGTTCTGCAGCACTGCAGGCGATGATGGACTACATGTCGGACGCTATGCACCCGAGTGTGAGAACGCAAGTCTGATATATATATATATATATATATATATATATATATATATATATATATATATATATATATATATATATATATATATATATATATATATATATATATATATATTCTCTGAATTACTTCTAAGAGTTCTGCAGCACTGCAGGCGATGATGAACTACATGTCGGATATTTTGAATTACTTTATTAGCATGTCTAATTAACTAACACAAAAAGCAGCAAAGCTGGGCTGTGCCGAAAATAGGAAAACGAGAGTAGTACACCAGTTCGCAAGCGTCCTAATAGACTGCCTTTTGACTTTCGGGAACATATTAGTTTTATTTCTTGCATAGTGCAGGTGTTCAAAATTTAAGAGAGAATACCATCTGACTACCTAAAGTTCTGCGTAAAAACTACCAGAGCATTTGACTGTGTGCGCGTGTGTTCTCGACAGGTCTCTACGATTACACACGCTTCGCTATCGGCAACACAAACGACAGTCGCTTCATCTGCATATCGTTCTCATGGACCGCCTCGAAAGAAGCATAATAATTGAACGTCTGACGTTATGAAGCAATGATCCCTGCGCACAGGATGGGCAAACGGGAATGTAAACTGGTGCATGTTTGCTGCACGATCACACAAGGATAGTTCATCATATGCAATCCTCGTCGTTCTTAAATCACACATTCCTACTGCGCAGCATAATGTGTTAAAATTAACTCTTGCCCGTCGACATTTGTTATTATTGATTCGTGGTGCAGCACACTTTCGACTACGCCAAGGAGGAATTAAATATTTAGAGCCACATTACTCGTTCACTGGTTTCTATGTTCAACTGCATGTCAGCTTTCGAACTTATGCTCGGATTGACTAATCTCGTATCGCGCTTGTTGATGTGAATCAGCATTTCATGCTCCACGGCGGTAAACCTGTCTTTCATGGGCAGATCGAGAGGCGCTTCGCACGTTTCACTGGTTATTTCAAAGCGACATTCTCCATGCCAAAACACTCCTATTCACACCACCGCAAAGCCACCGACTGGAACGGGACTAGAACCAGCAGCATGCTCACATTCGTAACTGTGCGATAAACCTTTGTCACTCGTTACAGCAGCGGTCAAGATTTCTCAACACGTTTACCGACTGGAATGAGGAGTGACTTCCGGAACCGGTTTGCGTGACGCGTTCCTTAATAGAATCCAGCGTGATTTCAAGTGAATCGTTCTCGTGTTTTTGTAGCGTATTTGACTTGGTGGATTTCGAGTGCTCCCTTCAGAATTAAGGCGTCCGTTCTGGGTATTGCGATGAAAAAGCGTCATAAGCCTTTATCCTAAATCCGCTTCAACATTTGGAGTATAAGAAGACGCTCTTCGTTTCGTGAGATTGGCGTAGTTACCGCAGAGAGAACTGTGCAGTGATGTTATAATAAACTTCATAGCTGCGACACAATGTTCGTCCAGTTGTTTTTTGTTTTTTTGTCCTCGTTTTGCTGCGCTGTTTTAAAGATGAAGCCAAACCAACTTGCTCAAATGTTTGTTCTACTTAAGGCAGTTAAAGTTAGGTGCATGTATGGCATTATCAGATTTTCGTGAAGGGGCAATCATCGGCTATTCAACGAAGCATACTTGCATGTGCGTCTGCTTGTTCATTCAGTGTTTTAAGCCTTCAACACGCGTCTTCACAAGACCAATTTATAACTTCCATCACTGCTTCTTTCTTCCAGCTTGTTTATTTCACGAAGCATGGCAGTTCCGCAGAAGACCCGCTTGCTCGTCTGGCACTATGTTACATTGATGAATGCAACCAACGCGACTTACAAGCTCTTGTTAACGCAGGTACCTCTTACAATTTGAGTTCTCATTGTGCCTAATGTTTTCAAAATATCTGAACCAGCTTTTACTGAGGGTTGAGGGGAAGCCACACCAGTTGCACAAGATCTTTGCGCTTTCCATTGTTCTAGAAAATGTTCTTTTATGTTCTAGCCATCCTGCTCGCGTGTTTTTTTAGTTTAATACCACTACCGACACAAAGCTGGACTGCTCCTACTATTATTCAAAATGAATACATGAAAAATATCGACACTCACCACTATTGAAAAGTGCGTAGGCATTTGTACTACCAAATTCACTACCATTATTCGTATCATGTGGCTTCTTTATAGTGTGAAACTAGCGCGTAATCTATCAGTTCTGCACTCTCAGTGAAACACAAAAATATTAGTTGCTGTAGGCCCCACGTTGGGTGCCAAACGTGGGGTTTCGGGCAGTTGCTGGTCCGAACCTCTCAGGAAGGAAACTAGCACAGACCAGGAACTTTCTTTACGGCCCCGAGCTTCGGCAGCAACAACCCTCTGCCAGTTGTTCCTAACCGTGGGCCCCAAGCACGCCCGTGGTCATTGTTCTCTTTCTCAATGAGCACTCACCATCACCGATGGGTCCCTTAAAGCTAAATCTTTTGCATTTTGTGTGTTTCGTGCTTTTTATGCACCGAAAATTCTATACTATATCTTCGCACCAGCTGTTGGCATCACTAAACTTACCACTGCTCCTATTCTCTATATATTTTTTCTTGCAGTAAGTGTTCCTTTCTTCAGGTTTGAAGTGTCGAACTGCGTGACAGCTGAACCAAGACCATGGAATAACACACAGATAGCGATTGCGTAAGTTATCGAGAAATCTGATCGGGATATATTGTTACTGTATTTAACTTTTGGTGGATGAATTCTTTCGTCCAGGAGTCATTGCCTCATATTAGTGCGAGTTTATTGACTCTAACAGTAGTTATTGCTTGGCTTGGGCTTAAAATTTGGCAGAGCCAACGCCTTATAAACATGAATATCATGCAAAGCATGTTATAGTCAACAACAATCACACTATCCCGTACGCATTTGTAGTTATGAGCTAGAACTTATGAAGCATGAAGTACGTCGACATCCTTCAGTCAAATAAGTAGCTGTGCCCATATCATGGGCTAGCCAGATACACCGAGTACAAAGGCGTGTAAACTTTAGCTTAGGGATCGAGGCAGTCACTTTAGAGCAGGTATGTAAGTAATATCAGAGGAAGCGTAAGGTACGTTGAAATCATGCGCAAACGAGAAGCAGTGGTCATCAGCATGCTAAATAACAATTTACAATGTCTTCCAGGTTCTTAGGCGTATACATGTCAGGCTCATTACATTGCTTAAGAATAGAATACCCCCCACGAAAGACACAGACACACAAACACTATTAAGGTTGTCCCGACATGATGCTTGGATAGGGTATTTTCCGAAGCAGTTTGTAGCACTGAAGTGCTCTTTGGTGGAGGGCTATCCGTCAGGCAAGACCTCTAGCTTTAGATTCAGGCTTTAGGCATGATTTTGACACGATATCAATAACGAGTTTGTTTTGCAGAATTTTTGCGGTTGGCGCCATTGGTTGTGACAAAATAATTATTGTTCACTGTGACTGAAAAGCCTGAAATGTGCAAATAAAATTAATAAAGAAAATATTCGGTTAGATTGAGAATCTAGCTCAGACCTTTTGCGTGCTAAGCGGGAGTTCCGTACAAAGTCATGTTATTGCTTGGAACTGCCTTTAAAAAGTTGAAGCCTATCATGGGCCTTATCTGACAGTTCGCCCCTTCAAAGCCTAAACTTATAGTTTTTTCATAAAAAAATATGGCAGAGGGTGATACGTATTTTTATTGATTAGCCATGAGGTATGAAAATGGATATAAACCGGATCCCGGAAACGCCATGGTCGCAGGTTCCGACCACGTTTTCTAGAGTAACTAAATGATTTAAATTTACCAATGATTAGCAAGACTCGAGCAACAATGAGCAATTCATGTCTAAAATATTACCGACGTACTATATTCCAGAAGCAACTTGGCAAGAAATATAAAATATTGGAGATAATGCTAATCACTTTCGCAAAACCACTATTTTAGATGTATTGCACTGTGATCAGTGTGGTGCTCCCATGTGAATAGTGCATGGTTACTTGTTACAAAAAAAAAACAAAAAACCCGTAGGATATCGCAGTAAGTGCCGCACAGTAACAGTGGAAGCTGGAAGAGCAGACTTTCAGAGCTTTTTTAAACACTATTTGAGCAACTGCTACAATCACACTTGAAGGATCCCCACTACACCATAGATCATCATAATTTTTGTGCAGGCAATCACTATATGACATCTTTCGTCACTATTAGGTAAAGCGTGACGCCCGCTACTCACTTGCAAGGAACATAGCGCATTTTGTGAGACGCTGTGACTGACGACGATGAGTAGTCATGCCTAAAGCTATCATAAGGGGCATGAACCATTCGACGCCACACTCGTTGCACAATTCACATTGAGTCACGCCTGGCTGTTCTTTTGCTGCTCTAAACAATTCATTACGCACAAAAGGCGATTTCTTTCCCAAGGTGAAGCTTGCCTAAGGTAAGTTTGCCACTGAGGTTCAGGCACTAGCGTAGCGCAGTGATAGAATACTAGGCTGGCACGAGGGGGACCCCGATTCGAATCCCATTGTGACCCTAATGTTTTATTTAGTTTCTTTCTAGCTTTGCATGATATTGGTTATGGACACTGGCGGCCATGGCGGCAGACAACTATGGCGCACGTGACAAGTGTTGTGATCTCATACTGAAAGATGAGCACGGCTTTTTTTTTTTAGTATATCCAATGATAGGCGCTCATCTAATTGACCACTTTCGTTTCAATTTCCAGAATATTTGCCGGAGTTCTACTGTTGGTCATTATTGTCAGTACTCTGGCTGACCATTTCGCGCAGCAGCAATCTGAGTGGAGAAAGAATCATGGTAAGGGACTCCAATAATTATTCAAATCACACGTACAAGAACTGAAAGCATATCTTGTGAATTAAAAAAAATGATGTCACTTCGAAAATCGACGTTAGTACGAGAAGATATGCTGAACGTATGAGCTGAAATATTTTATTTAGGGCTGATGAATCTACCTTGGTTGGTTTAAAACGCTCTTGCAAAGAACTTTTTTTATGAATAAGTGGCTTGATGAGCCACATTTCATGCTTAGGTGAGGTGTTGCGTTATCAATATTTTCAACGACTAAGAGTGATGTGGTTGCATGCGTTGATTAGTCGAAAAAATAAAAACGAGAAGCTAGGCTCGACTTGAACTGACGGCGTCGTGAAGAACGATGTACAGCGGAGCTCGGAAGCGAGGTCCTTTGACTTCACGTTGTGAATTTGTTGACGTCCTAACCAAAGTCATATTAGCTGCGTATGGCGCGTCTTCGTATTGCCTTCCCTAACTTCCCACAACGTGATATCTGCAGCACTGCTCCTCCCCTCGGCGCTCCACTGTTTCTTTCCCGCTCGACCACCTTCTTCTGCCCCACCTCCTTTCTTCCCTTGCCTCTGATTTGTCATGATGTGCCCTCTCTCCTGCTTTCCTTGCCCCTCACCCTAACGTGCCATGACTTCTGCTTGTAACCCCTGGCTGTACTAAATTACGCATGACTGTGCAAATATTTATCCGCTTCCCAATTCATTTTCTTCTCCTCCTTGACCTTGCAATATTTCTGCCCCACGGACTTCACATTTCACAACCTTGTTATATTGTACTAGGCATGACTATGCTATTTTTTACACTGTTTCTCATGTTTTCTCTGATTTCGCTCCTCAACCGGACTTTCCTTTCTTATCCCTTACTATACTGTGCCATAGATAGCAATGCTATGCTAGAAGCTGCTTGGCGCACACTCGCAAGGCTTGCTGCGTGCGACACGACTGCGAAAGTTCAAGAATGGCTTTAGCAGCTTGCCTGTAAATTGAATGTGTCAGCGTGAAATATAGGCGCATTGCTTGACAAAAACGTTGATCTATAGAAGTATGAATTGCCTAGGAATAAAATTTGGCAGATCCCACGTACCTAGGAATCGACGTTATGCGAAGCATGTGGAGGGAAGGTGACCATGTTTCATTTTTTTATTGAGTGACACGTCATGAAATGACGATAAGTATATGTATAAATGTTGTACACAGGGACATATGTTTAAGAGTTGCAAATATTTATATAACCAGTTGTTTGCAGTTGCGCAACGACGCCAACTAGAAAATGCGTATAGCAACGCCAGAAGCTGATATGAAGCGCTGGTGCTCGCGAGGATGCTGGTCCTGGACACTTCTACATAAATAAACTTCAGCGCGTGGACATTACCTATAATTGACATTAACCCGATATGAGGGCAGTATCAAATGAGTAAATTGTAATGTTTACAAAATTCAATAGGCAGCACCACAACCACTATTGACGTTTCATGAAGATTAGCGTCTGTTTGAAAAGTAGTTCCGAGACCTGGTGTAGCTCTGTGGTAAAATGCTTCATTTCCATGCAGAATGCTTGGGTTTAATTCCAGCTGTGACCCTGACATTTATTTTTTGCATTCGTCGGGTCGACGCTACTGATATCAGATATTTCTTAGCGCTCGCGCGTTGCAATCGCCTGTGTAGTCTCGTCATCCCTGGATACTAAGTGTCAATCACCTGTGGCATATACCCACATACCAGTGGCACATACCCGCCCATGGTTATGTGTCATTGTCTGGCGGGGAATGTTTGACGACGTACGCGACGAAATTGTGACATTATTCATGTCTTTATCAGCACATCCTATTCGTCAAAGCATCTTACCCTCGCATGGTAGTTTTGGCTCACGCCAAATTAAGGGAGTGACCACGAGAGCATCCAAACGTAAGCGTCTAGCTAGCTAGATAGATAGATAGCTATATAGATAGATAGATAGATAGATAGATAGATAGATAGATAGATAGATAGATAGATAGATAGATAGATAGATAGATAGATAGATAGATAGATAGATAGATAGATAGATAGATACGTTCAAAATGAGCGAAGTTTGCTAAGAAATTCTTCGCATTTAAAATGATTGAAGAAGGCATCAGAGTGAAACTGACTTGAATTTGCTCTATATGCGTTAAGAAATGAAGTGCCGTTGCGATTTTCTGGTTGTCTTCAAGTTTCACCATATATTCGCTCGCTGGTGCTCTTGTACTTGGCTTAATTTGTAACACCTTCAAGGGTGAGAGGAGGGTGATGCAAAATACGAAGTGCGCTACGAAACCAACGTGCACCGAAGAGCAGCGGGCTGCCATACACAGGCCGATTTGTTAGGCTCGAAATAAGTTGGCCTTGGATATACCTCTTCATCTTCTCCCAAAATTACTGAGAGCAAGGCAGATGTCTAGGTGTTTAGATGCAAAAGATGGTCATGTGCACAGAAGGGGTGATGTAACGGATCCTTAAAGCTGCAGGAACAGACAATTATGATAAATAGGTCGGTGCTGTGAGCACGCATATGCGCATGTATGTATGTATGTATGTATGTATGTATGTATGTATGTATGTATGTAGTATGTATGTATGTATGTATGTATGTATGTATGTAGTATGTATGTATGTATGTATGTATGTTATGTATGTATGTATGTATGTATGTATGTATGTATGTATGTATGTATGTATGTATGTATGTATGTATGTATGTATGTATGTATGTATGTATGTATGTATGTATGTATGTATGTATGTATGTATGTATGTATGTATGTATGTATGTATGTATGTATGTATGTATGTATGTATGTATGTATGTATGTATGTATGTATGTATGTATGTGCAACATATTTCCCCCTTTATGTACTCTTTTCAAACAATGCTTTCTGATTGCCTGTCTCTCTGATCAGTTCGCTGAGACAGCACATGCGTTAATAGAGTCCAGGCTTGCATTCTAACACGAATGTGCGATTACTTAACAGGACTCGCGTTTCAAGTTGTCCAGGCTTTCTCGGCGAAATCCAACACTGAGCTGCTACTCTACGTGCCTAGCAAAGAACAAGCCGAGCAACACTCTCTGCTATTCCTCCACGGCATCCGATGCTTAGCCACTGTTCACATTGTGGCCGGACATTTGAACGTGATGATAACGGATAGCTTAAGTGAGTCTTTTACGTAACTTCGTTTCTATTTTCTCGGCCAACTGTGTTGTAATTGCTGTACACTAACTGCTATGAAATGAGGCTTTGCTCGGTGTTCTCTAAATGCATTTTAGAACCAGAAATAAAACTTGTAATTGGGTCAGTTCGTTCACGCTTCAATCTACACTGCTGTGTTCAAGAAAAGACAAGGAAAGATTGCGCCAGTTCTTTCGTTTTGTGTTGCTGTTATTTTTCGCGCACATCAGTTTATTTTGAACTCTGTCAGAAGTTTTCAGTTATTTTGGCGAAATTCGGACACACAAGCTTGTGTTTAATTACGCGGAGAAATGAAGTAATGCCCAAATCTGATCGTTATTGAATAGGAAGCAGCATCGACTAGGAAGAAAGATGTAAAATAACAAATATGTTGCTCTTTACTGGTGGAATATATCAAAGAAAAATAAATCCACCCATAACAATTTACTACTCGTATACGCACTTCAAGTGCATTCACGACCACACCTTTGGCTTTGTAGTTTGAGAGTCCCTTAATTCGTTTCCAGCACGTGTGTTGAGCTTGTTCGCTGGTTCAACAAAGTGGCAGAACATGCTCATACCCGCCGCCTTCAACAGCGTTGATACTTTCTTCTTTCTCAGGTAAGCAAGAACCTTCTCTTGCGAATATTCTCTCCTGCTGTGAACATATTTTTGAATAGTTCGTGATGCCTCTCCGTAATTTTACAGCGTTGAATAGTTGTTTAATTTTGGAGATAATGACATTTTCTTGCCTGATGTTGCTCAACTTCGTTCTGTTAATTCAAAATTTAGTCTTCAACGTCCATAAATAATCTGCCGTGGTGATGCTATTGTTCTGCATAGATTACGGCTGGGCATCTTGTTTACACAATGCGTACACAATCTGCATAGGCATGGCTAGCATTACCACCTATGAACATTGTGACGATTGAGAAATTAATACACTTGTTCTGTGGGTTCATCCGCAGTGTAGTGCTGACACCACACCGAGACAACCTTGAGTTGTAGGAAAACTGGGATCTCGAGCATAGAGTGAAAGTCATTTTCAGAAAATTGTTCACGTTTTGCTTGTAGAGAGGGTACCTCTAGCGCATGCGGTAAAAGTTACTGCGATCGTGGCAGTCCGGACAGTGCCCTGAAATGTCAGACTAATGGCAGTAAATGACTAATGGCAGTGAAGAGGCTGGTGTATGTTTCCATCTAAAGCATGCGAAGGGAGCATGTTAGCACCCAAGACCACTTCTCGTGTGGCAGTGGAAACTGTACAACCCCACTGAACATGTTCGCGTCTCGTGCCGACCACACCCGCGAAACTGTCGCTCCCCTCCTGCTCTTTCACCTCGCAAGGCCGATGCAAGAAGTGTCTGCTAGTAAAAAACCGACTGCTCGCACTGCGCAACCGTTCAGTGGCCACCCAATATATGTAGGCACTCGATCGCGCGTTTGGAATTCAGTCAAGGGCGTCTTTCCTTGCCTTTTGCTTGATGAGCGCCAGCGTCAACGGGGCCGCCAGGGTAAGCGTCAGCGCCCGGGGCTTTGCATCTACACATGGTTCCCTTTAGCAGGATGATCCAAAGTATTTTCTAGGTTCAACAACGCCCTTGGCTATGATAAAAGAAGGCAAATTGCGCGATAACACAGATTTGAAACGCGGAGTTTCTGTTTCCTGCTTCCCTTCTCCTGTGTGCTAGCTAGCCCACCTCCCCTTATGAATCCCTGCACACTGCTTGCATTTTGTGTCGTTGTTTGCGTTTATTATGTTTAGTCGCATTTTATCCGGCCCTACTCAAACCGCAGTCTAAATAGCTTTTTGTAGTGGTCATTGGCAAGAGCTAGTTTATTTAGAACCGACAAACTAGTGAGAATAAAGTGATCTGTCACAGAGGAAATGATCATAATTTTGTAGCCCGCCATCAGCACGAGCACTCATGTCTTGATTGATTTCCAGCGGTTTCTTCCTGTGTCACATCATATGCAAGCAGAAAGCGAACAGTGCTGCTGTTTTCATCATCGCCGTGATTAAGAGGTTGATCAGGTGAGAAGACAACCTTTTATTTTAATTTTAACAACTAAACATTTACAGTGGGGCTTACATGCCTCAGCTCCTTCAGGTGAGGGGAAGCTGCAGAAGTGACAAAATAGTCTGTGGACATATTCGAAATCACATTCGCGGAAAAGTGGGAAATAATGGATAGGAAGGCTCTCTCAAAATTGTAAGATATGTAAAATATCGAAATGGAAGATTAAGAAATGAAATTCGATTGCGCAGCATATAGAAAAAAACGAATGTTTCTGTTACAGCGTACAAAGAACAAATATATAGCTTACACGCCAAAACGTGTCTTTTGCAAGGCGCGCTTCTATCCTGAATCATCGCATAAGTAAGAACAATCTTTGTTACACTGAAGTTTTAAGAAACATGAGACGTCTTACTCTTCGTCTTGCAATGCGCTGCAGGATGTGTGTCCCACTCTTCTTCGTCATCATGTGGTTCTACTTGCTTCCTCGGTTCGTCGACGGACCGGACACCGAGGCGTTTTTCCAGCGATTTAATGGTGAACTGTCCAAACACTGGTGGATGTTCCTTGTGCAAATCAGAAACTTTTACGAATTTGATCTACAGGTGAGCCTCGAGCACGATCTGTCGGAAGATTTTTTGCATAATAAGCATAGGAGAGGACAAGTATGCCTCGAAGTTTATTTGCGACTTCGACAGCCTGCAGAGAATAATCTTCGTGCCACGGCACTATGTCTTATCTGAGCTCATACACTGCGTCATTGAGAACATTGGGTACACTGAAAATCACAAGCCAGTGCCCAAAGGCCAAATATAAAGTGTTCAAGTCGATTAAGTACAATAATACAGACAATGCCGGCATTTACACTATATGTCTTTGTTAGTCTGAATCGTTTAGGCACTACATATTAGGTAATACTACCTCTACTAATTGTAATAATACAAAATGTGCTAAATAACAACATTGCACAAAGACCAACGTCATATCCCTCTATTCTTTCAGGATATATTAGTCTACCCGTGGTACTTATCAGCAGACTTCCAGCTCTTCCTGGTCTCACTTCTGACATTACTGACATTTAGAAGGTAAGCCAACGTAATCGTATGTTGTTCTTAATTATTATGTTATTAATATACAATTGCCTGTGAAACATGTGTTTTTTTGAAAAAGTAATATTTGTGGCTGGTTCTTCTGGATGTTTATTCGTAATATATGTTGCGAAACCCTGTGGACACTTTTTGTGAAGATTCATCTCGGGTGTACTATGGTCGTATATGAGGGATGCTCAGAATAAAAAAAAACAGAGTTCAAGTAAGAGCAGGTTCAGTTGACATAGTACGATTATGTCGGACAATTTTTGGATGAATCTATTCAAATACCATGTAATGAATCGCTACATTACGTGACTTAGAATAATGATCAACTGAAATAAAAGTGTTCAAACAAACCCATTCTTCGAACACTTTGCAGCATCTTAAAGGCGGCCTCTTTTCACACAGGCGAAAGCGTGTAGCCCTGGCAGTTTTTGGGGCACTTTCTCTAATAGGCTGTGCCATTGCTACATGGACGATGGCAAAATTGGATCTACCACCATTCCTCATTATGCCTTTCCCAGATTTACCGTAAGTTCACTTCCATAATTGAAGTGCTTGTCGCAACAACTCAGCAAATAAGCACACTAAATTTTGTTTTCGTAAGCGAACCAATGAGCTTACGTGCATTGTCTTTTCAAACTGTCGTTGAAGCCTTTAACCGGGCCCATTCGGTCATCGTTCGTTTACTTATACAAATGCGGCTTGCATTGAGTGACTCTAACTTGTGCTCGTTTTCTTATTCACTGAGAATTTACGCTGCACGTCCTCATTTTGATGATCCCGGCTGCGGCGGCTGCATTTCTGATGGAGGCGGAAATGTCGAGGCCCGTGTGCTCAGATTTGGGTGCACGTTAAAGAACCCCAGGTGGTCAACATTTCCGGAGCCCTCCACTACGGCGTCTCTCATAATCATATGGTGGTTTTGGGACGTTAAACCCCACAAATCAATCATCCTCATTTTGATGGGATATTGGCTTTACAGGGGCCAGATGCCTCGTCAGGCACCTTACCTATGTAAAACTGTAATGCCCTATGTCTTTTCGCCACTGTCCTGGGTAAACTGTGGCTTTTTTACTGTTTTTGCCTGTTTTCAACTTCACCCTTAGTCTATAGGCTGGTCATTGTAGTATGCATGCAGCAAATTGACGGAAATATTTGTTTTCCGAAGACGAAAATGAATGGTCACGGGTAGCAAAAGGCGCTTGTACTCTTTGTGGTATTGCCTGTTTCACACAAAAGAGGCAGGAATACTCCAAGTCAGCGGAAACGAAAAGCTCAAATGCGGGAAAAGAAGCGCAGATAGTGCGTGCCACACACACTATGCTTATTAATTTTGCAAATCACAGTGATCTCTCACGACAGCTTTCTCTTTTGAATCTATCCCATCCTCAACACAGTAGCGTCGAAGAGCTCGTTTCGCAGAGATTACGGCGTTGGCGTCGTTGGTTGTGAACGTAAAGTCATCGAAAAGACATACACTGAAGGACATTAGGGCCGAATTGAGCACCTGATTCATAACTGCACCCACACCTACAAAATAACTAGATTACCTGTCGTTTAACTACCGAATCAGCGCTTGGATAGAGTTGTACAAGTGGAGATCGAAACCGGATCGTTTTCGTGACAAGTGAATGTTCTAACGCCGCAATCAATGCTAGAATTAGGGTTTTTTTTAGACTAAAATAGTCCGTGGTTTGAAAGCATAAAAAACACTTAGGAAGGTGAGTGGAGGTTTACGGCTACAGATATTACCACAACAGTATTTGAAGTTTCAGAAGGCAATTGATATTATATAGTGAAAATAAGATAGAGAAGCAGCTGCAACTGTATAGTTCAATAAGGATGTCCATCTAGCAAGCGCTAGACAACTTATGACTGCTCCACTAATGTGATACCTGAGAGAGTGTGTTGCACGGGCACAAAGCGATTCGCGTTTGTAGACTTCCCACCTCCGTGTACCGGACCTTAACTGACGCCAACGTTCGAGCTGTGCGTGTAGGGTTTCCCCGGCAAGAGAGGGAGAATAAAACTTCACTGAAATGTAGAATTTCAATACGCATTTCCCAGGATCTCTTCAAGACGCGCATTGCGCTATACGTTCGTTAGTTTTATGATTACATGGGACGACACGGTCAGTGGATATCTTCCGCTCTGCTTGGCCGGGACCATCAACGCAGCGGGGTGTTCCATTCCTCCCATGCTGTTGATAGGGGTCATGTTAGAGGGATTGCCAGGCTGAGTGTGTGACATGTATACGTGACTTTTTGCTGCACTTTATCAATTTTTCGCTTGTACCGAAAGATGAGAGTTGGGTCAGCTGCATATAGGCTGCAGACAGTTCCACCAGGTTGTATTTCCTGTCAGAAATAGCACCGTATGAAGCCGGTGAGGCAAACAATTGTGTTCTCTTCGAGGCGATGGTGTCAACTCTTGCATGGCGCTGGAGTCAGCCGCATGTACAAGTTTTAAGCAATTTTGGGTGCCCTGCTGCAAGTCCTTCATTGTTCTATTAATAGTATTACTTTAGGCATTATTCATACATGTGAACCAAACTTTGAGCACTGCTGACTAATATGTATTTAAATGCTCTATAAAATGTTATGCAGTGCCACAGCCGGCTGCAGCATGCAAACCTGTAAACAATTTAGGCGTCTATTATGTAAAAGACCTTTTTTTTTTGCAGGAGGCTGTTGAGCACGTTCAGTGATTACTACGCCAAGCCTTTCTACCATGCTGTATGCTACTTCAGCGGCTGTATGACGTGCCTTGTTGTAGCTGATTTCCGAGAGCGTAAGATTTCCAAGGTGCTGTATTAAATACAGAACTTACCTCGTCGTTTGCGATACTTTTACTCGCAGATCTGTGAGAAATTTCAACAAGTAACTGACATCGTTTTGTGTTTATTTTTGCACTCTCTCACCACCGCGACGGCAGTGCCGTGCAAGGTGTCTTTTTTATAACTGATATATAGTCCGAATTTATTAGTTTGCTGGTGCATAACGCAGCTATAGTCAGGAACCCATTTTTTAGCTTTCCTTTTTGTTTTATTTACTATTGTGGAGGATAGCTAAGACTGGTGTGAGAGTGTTGGGTGCACAGAAAACCAACTGCAGTACAATGTGGACTAGTAACAAGGTCCTACAGGCTTAGCTAGTAGTACTTTTGAGAGAAAGTTAATTTTTTGAAGAGAGAGGGATGCTTTTTTTCCTTGGGGCTTGTACTGCATATTTTGTAAGTCTCCCGAAACAATTGATCATGTTGACTTGCATTGGTTGGAGGGGCTTTGTGTTTTGGCGATGTGCTGCTGAGAGCTATTAAAAAAAGACTTTCAATCGGACCCGTAAGAAATTCGGTTCCTGAATGTCGCAATCATGCTCCTGGGCCTCCACTCTTTGTGAACGTAGAGAATCACAAGCTATCATTTCGACAAAGATGCGTGGCTTGCCCAAGCCTATTTTCGTGATAGCATAGAATTGTGTCTCTCTGTCCAATAAGCTGTACCCCTAGCCACCCGAATGGCTCCCGCGGGTATAGCATCTTGTGATTTGCCCAAATTTTAACTCGATGAAGCCAGCCCCACGCTATTCGGCTAAGGAGACATCTTATGTGCATTGTACTTTGTGTGTATTGCCTGCGTTTCTTGAGTGATATGTCCGGTTACCAAAACCAGGTAACAAAAAACTTGACCACGACGCAGTGGATGCTGTGCCCGCCTTCTGATGTAGTGGACCCATAGGTCAAAGGTTCGACTCCCACTAACTAAACAATTTTTCGTCTTTCGATCGTGTGTGTTTTTACGCCATTTCCGTAATGGCAATACCTAACTTAAATTACGATGAGTACCAGTATAAACACTTTCGTGTTCAAAAAGTAAGTTTAGGAACAAGACCGAAGCAATGAATGCGATAGCAACTCGTCGGACTGATTTAGGAACCATACATAATGTACTGTACACAGTCGAATGTGTGTCAAACTGTAGCGTTTTTCGCATGGGCAGAAGCCCGTTCATCCTGTTTCTGAGAACATGTGTGAGCCTGCCTTGCTTCCGTGCGACCAAAATTTCATTAACGCTGTTCCACAGGTGCTTGAGCAACACGCGGTGGTATCACAAAGGCCGACTACATACAGCGTTCTCGCCAGCGTTTGTCCGGCGTATCCTTCCTTTGCTCCAGCCAATGTCGACGGTACCGCCGACAATAGTAAAAAATAGAATTCTAATGCACTTCCCTAAAAGGGTTCCTCAGATTGTCCCACACATTGCAGCGTAGGCGTCAACTCCGAAAGCACCTTGATGGAGGAGACTTTTGCTTGCTTGCCTGCATCTTGATATATGGCTCCCACCCACCACGGAAGATTGTCAATGAAACCGACGGTTAATATTGCTGCGTGCATGGGGTGACGCGCTTGTGCATTACGAGGAAGACGAAAGGTTGTCTCCGCTCGATCGCAGGTCAACTGGTCATGCCATTACTGCTGGTTTTAAATAAATCTCATCCACAGCCTCGTTGATACGGCGTTTCGTCTTTTCCGTAACATATTTGGTGGATGTGGAATGTTCCCCGTCTTCACCACGAAGATTCGCAGTGGCCGCACCGTTCACTCTCCGGCCATGGCTACCTATGACAATAATCCGTCATCGCCTCTACCTGGAACTCCAGCCACCGCATACGTGATGATGCTCTGCCCCCGTGACCCCGGTACATTCTCCACACAACCTAGGCTTGACGTTGACTACTGGCTCCATATGTACGAGCGTGTTAGCCAGACACACTGATGGGACCCTACCATGATGCTCGCCAACGTAATATTTTACTTGGACGGCACCCCACGTGTTTGGTTTGACGCCCATGAGACCCAAATCACCAGTTGGGGTATCTTCAGGGAGCGACTACACGACATTTTTGGGGACCCGTCCAGTCACCGAAAGGAAGCGTGAAAACAACTCGCCACTCATGTGCAGTTCTCAACTGAGTCGTATGTCTCGTACATACAAGACGTGCTGCGTTGTGCCGGAAAGTGACCGAGTAAAGGACAGAGAGTGACCAGGCGGGTCACATACTCAAGGGCATTGTAAGCGACGCCTTCAATTTGCTCGTGTACAATAACGTCATATGATCGTCGATGTGATTATTAAAAAATGCCGCCGCTTCGAAACGGCTGAAAGCCGTGTCCTGCCTCAATTACGCGGCTACCAAACACGGCTCTTACATAACTCTGCACCAATCTCATGTAGAAGAACGTGACACATATAGTTCGACGGGTGCTTGAGGCGTCAAGTCCGGCGCCATTTCCTTCACTTACACTCGACCATGGCCCCACACAAATGCCTCCGGCGGTCTCCGTTATTGAAGCCGTCGTGAGGCAAGAAATTGCCAAGCTTGATTTTGCTGGGGCCTGTCTGTCTTCTATCCCGCCTTTAGACCTCGAAAATAAGTGCACCGCGCCATGCCTCCTACTTTCTTCCACGATCCCGCAATCCGACGGAATAGAGAACTGCAGACGACAAACCGATCCGCTTCCGCTGCCAACGAGTTGGGCATGTTTCCCACTACTGCCGCAGCACTTGAACGCCCCCAAACTGGAGCCCATTTTCCTCTTCTGGCCCATACGAGGACTACTGTCGGAATTCGCCCAGTCGTGTGTATCATACTTCCGACGTCCCTAACAGCCGCTCCACCGCTCGTTCACCGTCACCTCAACGCCGGCGTTCCCCATCGCCCCAACCACGCCGCTGTCCATCGCCGGTCAACTATGGATCCTCTCGGACGGAAAAAGAGATCATGTAGCTCCGGTAGGTAGTGCTGCATCAATTGCGACTGATCCAAATCCTCCGTTGACGCTCCCCACTGATATGAACTTCATTGAGGTGTAGGTAGATGGTATTTCTTTGAAGGCGTTAGTTAATACCGAAGCTCAAGTGTCCACAATGAGTGCTCATCCGTGTCACCTACTCCAAAACGTCGTCACGCCTGAAGCAACTAAAGCCCTTCGTGTCGCTGATGGTGGAACTGTGGCCATCACTGGAATGTGTACCACTCGTGTTACCATTGCTGACCGCCATGTCCCCGTTTTATTTACAGTGCTCTAAAATAGCCCTCACGACCTAATCTTTGGCATGGAGATCGTATCGGCGCATTCTGCCCAGATTGATGGTCCCACCAGGACTCTCTGTCTAGAACTTCCGGATTTTCACCCTGAACTCCCGAACAGCATCTGCACCACTGACTTTTTCCGAATACCACCTGAGCTCTCACATTCATTGAATCAGCAGTGCCCCCTCCAGAGCTCGAAGGTGATTATATCATGACGACAATTTCTTATGTTCTTCTGGCACGTGACATTACTGTCCCACACTCAGTCATGGCCTCTAATCGAACATATATACCTGTTATCCAATTCGCTTTCATAAAGCAAGTGCTACCTCAAGGAATTCGGTCGCCACGCTAAGACCCTTAATTGATGACCACGTCACTAGTTTTGCGGCAGACGTATGTACCGATTACCCATGTCACACGCAGGATGCCACGTGCCTTGGTGCGACCTTACGCTCTATGATAGCCCCGAGCCTAAAACATGAGAACTAAATCACGCTATGCCGCCTTCTTGCTTCATACCGCGGCATATTCGACATCGACAGCCATCCACTCGGCCAGATTTCACTCGTCAAGCACCGCATTAACACTGGTGACTCCCTTCCCATTCATTGCCGAACATGTCGGGTGTCTACCCCCATGCGTAAGATAATTCAACAACAAGTCACCAAGACGCTAGCCAAAGGGATTACAGAACCCTCTTCGAGCCCTTGGGTGCCCCCATTGTGCTCGTTAAAAAGAAATATGACACATGGCGCTTCTGCATTGATTGCCGCCATCTGAATGGAATCACGGTAAAGGACGTTGACCCTTGCCCCGCATCGATGACGCTCTCGATTGTCTCCACGGCACCCGATACTTTTCTTCAGTGGACCTACGTGGCGGCTATTGGTAGATTGCTGTCAACAAAAAATACCTAGAGAAGGCTGAGTTTTGATTCCAGACGGTCAATGCCAGTTCAAGGTTATGCCGTTTGGGCTATGCAACGCCCTAGGCACGTTCGAGCGCATAATAGACTCTCTGCTTCATGGGTTCAAATGGTCAACAGGTGTTTGTTACTTTGACGATGTCCTTGTATATTCCCCGACATTTGAGACCCACCTCCAGCGTTTGTCAGCTATTCTCGACATTTTCCTCACTGCAGGCCTTCAGTTAAACTCGTCGAAGCGCCACTTCGGACGCCGGCAAATTGCAGTGTTGGGCCACCTTGTCGACGCATCAGGTGTGCAGCTGCACCGGAGAAAATTCGTGCAGTCACCAGTTTTCCACAGCCTCGTCAATATGGCGTCTCGTCTTTTCCGTTACAGTATGAAAAAAAGCCTAATTCTCAAATACAATGAGGTAGAAATCGATCACCACAGGATTAAACAGAAATTCTAGAATAATAGACGCGTGAGTACATGTCCACTGACTCCCCGCCGTGGTAGTCTATAGTGGCTAAGCTACTCGGCTAATGACTAGCAGGTCACGGCTTCGGCGGCTGCATTTTCAATGGAGGCTAAAATCCTGTAGGCCCGTGTGCTCAGACTAGAGTGCATGATAATGAACCCGAGGTTGTCGAAATTTCCGAAGCCCTCCACTACGGCATCTCTCATAATCAAATGGTGGCTTTGGGACGTTGAACAACCCCATATATCAATCACCATGTCCACTGACTATGAGCAAGTGGCAAATGGGGTATATATATCTGTATATATATATGTGTGTAGGCATGGCGGTTGAGTAGCCGTAGCGTTGGATATAGTCCAGTAGATCCTACGGGAGCGGTCACAACGAGGTTGATTTCGACGTTTCGGCCTAGAGTCTGGCCTTCATCAGGATCCTGATGAAGGCCAGACCCGAAACGTCGAAATAAAGTACGTTGTGACCGCTCACGCAGGACAGGATCTACTGGAATATATATATATATATATATATATATATATATATATATATATATATATATATATATATATATATATATATATATATATATATATATATATATATATATATGGTGACAGAAAAATCAGCAGAGAGTGTCTTTATAATTGCTATCGCCATAAAACGACAGGATAGGTGTGGAATTCCCACTAGCTTGTAACAGCGAAATTGTTCTTAGGCGGGGATTTTATGCCCGGAGGTTGTCGCAAATCTCAAACGGGCAAGTGCCGCTACTCACGACTCTCACCACTCCTCCCACTTCAACAAATTCATTTCCACTTCATCCTACTCCATTAAATCCACTTAATCCCACTTCATTTTGCCTCACTTCATTCAAATCTCCGCTCATTTAACCAGCAAAATACCTCCCAAAGAAAATATTTCTTTGTAAGCCAGCAGCTTCACTGTTTCACTGGTGCTATAAAAATCTGGTTGATTTTTTAATAGTATTGGGCAGTGCAAAAGAAAAACGAGAGACTCGGGGGAAGAACAACATGGGACGAGGGATAACTGCCGGCTGTTGAGACACTCATTGTGCACTATCATACGCGTTGTTTGTAAAGACAAAGCACACTTTTTGAAAACAGCTTCCGGGCACATAAGAATCGTTAGCCTATATTAGTATCATCAAGCCAATGTCAAGGGCTGAGCAAATGAGCTTGCCTACGCAAATTATGGAAAACGCAGAGTGTTGTCCCACACAAAAAAAGAACAGATCGTACTGAGGAGGGTTCACTGCACCTCTCCAACAATTGTATTTGCAGTTGTGTGAAAAAAACTGCAGGTTCAGCATTTCCACACCTTAGAAAGGGGACCACAATGCTGCCAAAATAACCCTTGAGATAAAGGACATGCCATACTGCCCAGGGCCATAGCTTGTGGGTGGCAGACCATCCTCTTACCCTTCACCGAAACGTATTTTTTTTTGCCATAACATAAAGAGCTGAAAATGACGCTTGACCCCATGTTTCTACCCGGCATTCTCTTCGAATAAACGTAGTACCCTTGCCCTCCCCCCAACCTCGCCAGAAAAGGTTTTCTACCTACTTCCGTGGTACTTTCTGATATCTATAGCACTGACAAGTCCGTCTTCTGTACTCTTTCATGTCATTCTGAAAGACTAGATGTGAGAGTTATGCGTACAATCTGCAGACCATCACCCCAGCTCACAATTTAGCGTTTTTCTTATAGTCAGCCCCACGCTACCATGAAGGGATAATGTCCTACAGTGTTCGAACATTTTATTGGAAAATAAATAGAATTTTTCATCGTGTATACTTCAAAAAGTTATTATTGTCCAAACTACAACGCAAATTCTTTTTTTATGTTCATTACAGACTCTTCAACTGGCAGGGTGGTGTACATCTGTTTGCTGTGGTCTCTTCTGCGTGTTCGTAAAGTTACCATGGTACTTAAGAGAGAATCCCACCACAAAGACTGTAGAGATACTCTTGGCCTTCTTCGACAGAATTCTGTGGTCAATCTCTCTTGCTTGGATTATGCTGGTGTGTTCAACGGGCCGAGGTGGTGAGAATGCTCTGCTAATTTTAGGTGCTGTTTATTCAAGGAAGTTCTACCGAGAGCACTGGAAAGGGTCATCGAGCCTGTGTGTTTATATTTACGAACGCTTAGTTTTCTAATAAACACATCACAAGCAAATCTGTCAATTTTCAAGTCAAGCAGGGAGTCTGAAGAAAGAGTTAGACAAACTGTAGATAATTAAAAAGAATATGAGGGAGAAAATTTAGTGTTGGTGCCGGCCTAGTCAGCGTTGTTTGTAAGCAGGAAATCGGCGTTCCCTATGACAAAAATAAAACTGAGTGGATGGATTGATTACAGATCAGGGTTCAAACAGAAATCGATTAAGCACATTGTGTTTGACATTCAACTTTTCTACCTCTTGGCAACGTGATTTCTTGATACTGCCGTGGAAAAAATGACGCCATATCCACGAAATGAATGAGGACCAAGTAGCTTGCTCCGAAGTTTAAGTCTGGAAAATCATGAAGCTCTCGTAAAGCCACTTGAGCATGATACAAAGACGTGGCCTATCAGGGGCAGCGAAGATTCTAGGACGTTCATTCACAATAATAATAATAATAATAATAATAATAATAATAATAATAATAATAATAATAATAATAATAATAATAATAATAATAATAATAATAATAATAATAACAATAATAATAATAATATTAATAATAATAATAATAATAATAATAATAATAATAATAATAATAATAATAATATATTGATATATTATTATTATTATTATTATTATTATTATTATTATTATTATTATTATTATTATTATTATTATTATTATTATTATTATTATTATTATTATTATTATTATTATTATTATTATTATTATTAAAAGCATAATAATAATACTAGAGTGGTAATATTATTGTTGTATTGTTTAATTGTATAGTTTTATTTTTGCGTGCGCCTGCCCTAAGACCTCATGGTTGTTCCAGGGCACACTAAAGAAAGAATTTATTGTTTGATTGATCGATATATTGATTATAGCGAAAGGTAATTACGGCGCCTCCACTCTCCTACTCTACGAAAATTGACGAACTCGACCCGAACTCGCAAGCGCCCCGTGCCTTGGAATAATGGTACCAACTATTTCGCGTCAACGGACGCCCGTCGCATCGGGTGCGTCTCGCATCGAAGCTCATGTTTAAGCGCGATAGCGTTAGAGAGCTGATGTCGCAGGAATTCCGCCGTCGGCGTCGGCACCGTTGGTTGTGAGCGAAAAATCGTCCGTGAAAAAAAATCAGAACAAAAGTAAAATAAACAATAATATTTTTGGTCCCCATAAGGATTGAACCCGGGCCATTCGCGTGGCAAGCCAGTGTCTTTGCACAAAGTCACAATGTTACTTGCAATTTCTTGGGAAAAACACTACACAAATGCCATGTAGTGGAAGGAGTCTCCTTAACGCGTTTTGTTCGACAGGGGCCACGACGAAAACGAGCCCATTCGGAGATTTGTACGCGCATTTGGGAGGCCATCAAACTATGTCAAAAGGGGGCAGGGATAGTGCTGCTTTTATGGCCTCCCAGTTGGCGAGCGCGTGGCATGTATCTTGTAGGCCATGCGACTATTGCTTTCGATCAAAAACTTGTATTTACCATTCACGGGCGCGCGCTGGTCCAATCTACTGTGTGCATGTGTGTCTAGCAAAACATATTATTATGTATGCAATTAGCGGTGGCGCACTAGGGGCCTGATTTCACCATAGCTTTCAACTCCTAAAGGCGAAGCTTAAGGGTCCCCCAGTTTCGCTAGCGTAGCGTCGCTTTCCCAGCGTGTCCAGTGTGCCCTCTCATGCAAGAAGAGACGCGCTGCTACGGCGGAATGACTGCTACGGCGGCGTGGACGCACAGGGTTGAGCGTAAAGAGCAAGCTCCTAAAATATCCAAAAAAAATTGCCCGCAGCTTCCCTCGGGGGAACACTGAGGAGGATGCGGAGCATATATTTGGTTAACGGGGTGTTAAAGTGCGACTTACTTGGGTCGATGGCTAAATTGGTTAACGTGGTTGTGAAATGGGGTGTTAAATTGCGACTTACTTGGGTCGATGGCTAAATTGGTTAACGTGGTTGTAGGAGGGGGTGTTAAATGAGTGAACACGTACACACGTATGCGAAAGGGCGGCGCTGGTCGAAGAGACGTCGATCATTGTGTTTGTGGATTCGTTGGAATTCATTTCACCGCGACCTTGGACGTCGACGCGCCGTACAAACCAACCGACGAGCGGCAACTGAGCGAGCGAGCGCCGACCTTGAGTATATATACAGCGCGACGGCGCATGCACTGTCAGCTGTCGAATGTTCGAGAAGGGGGAGAAGCGCAACGGCGCATGCGCGCGCGTCAGCTGCCGATGTTCTCGAAGCGCGACGGCACATGCGCGCGCGTCAGCTGCCGATGTTCTCGAAGCGTGACGGCGCATGCGCGCTACATTATACAGCTAGCGAATGTTCGTGAAGAGGAGAAGCGCACGCAGTGTGTAGAGGAGGAAGGGTGCACAGATGGTGGAGGAGTGAAGCGCGCACGGTGTGTAGAGGAGGAAGGGATGCACAGATGGTGGAAGAAAAAGGAGGAAGCTTGCGGACGGCGCCGCACTACAAGCCTCGAGTATTAGATGCTCCGCATCTAAAAGACCCGGTAGAATTATAAATCCGGTTGAGGCGTCGTGGTAACGGACGCAATATTGGTTGCTAGGAGCATAGAATTTCACCAGTGTTAGACCATGCAAAATGCGTAAGAAATTAGTGGTGTGACACTGCACACCCAATACCAAGGACTCACTTGTATACATCGCTTTTGTCATGAACGCCGCCCGCCTAAGTATCAACAGTGTGGCTGGGCAGGAGCCTGTGAAACCTTAGAAACGCACAGGGGGCACATCACCAGTTGGCAAAATAAATAATTCTGGCGCAGCGCGTGCCAGACCACCGTATTTAAACTAGGCATCATTGGAAAGCTTACCACACCACACATTTCATGCCGAAGATAGTCATTGGCTCACGCAATAGTTTATGTGCACACTGAGATGTACAACACAGCAAAAAAGTTAAAAGTGATACGAATAGGACCCCACATGCTGTCACGTTCAGCTATGGCTAGTTTAAACGTCTTTTTTTTCTACGGATGCCATGTACTGTATGCTCTTTTCTCGCCATCGTTTAGGCACTATATTTGTCCTGATACAAATTTTTGCTTTCATATTAGGACCTGTCAACAAATTTCTTTCGTGGAACGCATTCGTGCCATTAAGCAAGTTGTCATATGGTGTGTACTTGATCCACTTGCCATTCTTCAAACTGATGATGCACTCATCGAGAGAACGAGTCCACTTTTCGGAGTTCAATAGGGTAAGCTGCTTTCAAGACAAGTTCATGCGGTGTTACACAATGCTAATATATTGCAAAACGCTTCCAAGTTGTTGCAGGCCAGTCGGTGAAATATTATCCTGTTACATCTCTTACATGCAGTTCATAAAAGAGAACGCCATTTCCAAGCTGTATTGCCTAGCACTCTGCAGTGCTCAGCTGTAGCCATGGTACAAAAATATTCGAGGCATAGCTGAACAATTTTGAGTGTAATAATCTCGTGTCTGGTTCTTTTATATTGGACAAGAGAGGCATACCAGGTGACTCCAATGTTGAGTTCTATGTAATAAAACAACAACACGGCTGCGAGGTTGACCTGTGGAATATAATTGCTGCAGAATCATGCAGTGAATATTGATAATGGAGTGAAGCTACGTCGTAAGGTCCATAATGTCTACATTGAATTCGCCGACATGTAAAAAAGATGTACAGCTGGACTAACGCGCACGCACGCGCGCACGCACGCACGCACGCACGCACGCACGCACGGGAAGATGAATGGGAGGACACATGCATGGACGGATAGAGAGATCGACATACGGATGAATGGAAGCATGAATATATGCATATATAGATGTACGGGCAGACAACGTTCTATTTTAAGTTTATACGCACGTTGTGAACGCTCAATCGATGCTATATGTAGCACATGTGTTTAGCTCCGACGGTAAGCTGTGACAAGCCGTCAACAAAGTAAGAACCTAAGGCACTTCGCTCCTAAAAAGGTGCAAGTGGAGGCGTGAGGAAAACCAGGGGAAATCATAGACAAGGCAGACTTGAACCAATAAACACGAGACGTCATATTAAACCTGTTATGCATCTAAATTAACATAAACTACCACGCACAATTGTGTATGACACATGTGAAGAAAGATGTAAAGAACGTACTCTGACTAAAAAAGACCACTTAGCGCTTGCAATGGCAAGTTGTTTGCACTGTAGGCACTCGAGACGAAACTATACGATAGACGAGATATACACTAAAATGCGAGAAAACTTGCGAATTTCTCTGGCGAGTAAAAAGCTTATCATCTTTGTAAGAATAGTGACAACACTCGTTAATATTGCCGGAAAGTTGGGCAACCATGAATTTAATGTTAGCTAAAGTGAGCTATCCCTGTTTATTGCAATGTAATCAAATATTGCATGTGGAATACACCTATGTGTTGGCGCCTATTTATTGCCTCGGCTCACTACAGGTGATTCTGAAATAGTTTCACGGCACACACCTCTGGGTACGCATAGTTTCACCAATAAATGCAGCTTATTTTTAAGACTAGCATTCAATGAGTAGCAGGCAACTCCAACAGATCACGATAAGCTGTCTCCGCAAAATTTTTCCCACGAACCCCAATCCATGAGCCTTATTTTCTATAGAACACTTATTCCTAAAATTGCATATTGCGCCTCCTTTTGGAGCTCTTGTGAGAACTAACATTTGATTTATTAGAAAAGGTCAAAAATAAATTCCCACATTTTATTTAACTGCAGTATGACTGCTGGCAGCAGCTACATGAAGACTATTTTAAAGATACTATCCTCAGCCTCTAGGTGTAGACACGCATGGATATTCTTTTCCATAGGCCATATCATCGTCCCCTTTTACAAGAACTCCAGTCAGCATCACGTCAGAAAATGACTCGTATAGATCCCCAACATATGTTGTCCTATTTTGCATATTTATGTTTCTTATTACCTCCTTTTTACTGCACACATTTGAGTGCAATCACCTTCCCTTAAGTGCCGTCTTTATCAATAACACTAAGCACTTTAAGTAAACATTAAGCACTACATTGCTCTGAGTTTATAGTTCGTGGTTGTTGAAATGCGCAGCATAATTGCTTATATTATTTATATATTTTCGCTTAAAAGCTAAATCAAGTATTTTAGCAAATACTAAAATACCATGCCTTCTGTTTTTTGACCTACCAATACTTGGGCTCGAACATGTAATCTCTTGGAGATTACTCATCGAACGGTCACCTGTAATTCTGCAAGTTTAAGGTTGATATTGCAGAATGTCTTTTTACCTGTTCTTAACTTATCTGTGATTTTGTAACCTCCCCTCCACAACTGTGTAAGGTGGTTGGGTTTGAGGTAAGTATAAATACATAATAAATACCATTCGATTTGGAACATCTCAGTTCATTTCTGACTTTCTAAAGTATCCTAGTTGCCAGCAGTCTTTTGTGAACTGCGGGGTTATACTTAACACGCCATGACAGTTCGTTTATCCAGTGCCTCGTTTTTTTGTGCTCGAGGAAGCAAAATATGTTCTCCAGGCACAGTGGCCACACTGCGATGTGCCTCATACTAGTGCTGTTATAATTGTGTCATGGTAGAGGCACAGCTAAGACCAGTATTCAATTTTGTTCTTCCTGTAAGCAGCTTATAAATGATGTAAAGAGTTGTATTCCGACACATATCGCGAAGAATGTACGCTTTGTTCTACCCTAATCTGTGATAAACAGCAATGTTCCATTCTCTGCAGGCCACGGTTGGCTTGGGAGTGCTTGTGTGGTGCTTCGTGCTGTCTTACTTCGCCTTCATTGCGTGTGAGGCTCCGACTGCAGTGCTTGACAGGCTGGCTTTCGGCCTGCTGACGGGAAGAGCCAGCAACAGCATAGAGAAACATCAAGAGCAGCCTGATGGCGAGCACTCGAAGACAGTGAACGGCCGATGAGAGGGCAACGAAGCTTCGCAACTCTAACTAATCAGGGCGTTGTTGGACTCGCCATGTTATATACAGTCATAACACAGCGCTTACAAAAAAAATAAATTCAAGGTACCTCAGAAGGTCTGTTTTTCAGTTAATTTGTTCAATCTAGTAGGGTAAATTTATCGCAAACATTTCTCATGTGAACAGGGGGACAAAGACCAACCGCTTATTCTGCGTCCCCATTTTTTATTTGTAAAATTTTGAGTGTTTTCGCTTTGCGAGAAAGTGAAGCAGCTATGTGCCGCTTTGCCTATGTGTGATTACAATGCGAAATATGTGACCAGTATACCAGAAGCAATGAATCTGAAATCGGCAAAATGACTTCTCCCGGACACTTTCTTGCCTCTCACCCTAACTCATCTTACTTAAACATCACTACTCAAACATATCAATAAAAATCCTCGTGTCATTACAGTTTCCTTCTCAAGCACCATTGAAAAGATCACTATCTGAAGCAGGGGTTAGTTATAAACGTTGGGCAGTCAGAGAAAGACATGAAAAGAAACAATAATAAAGATTAGCAAAGCACTTACACGTGGTGTGGTGGTCCTGGATAGATGCAGCCGAAACACTCTTTTAAGTATTCGTCTCGCTACTGCGTTTATTAGAGTGCGAGGAGGAGAACGATGCTCTGCATGAGTCAACTATCAAAGAGTGGAACGAAACCGAGATAAAGTGAAAGTAACTGGCATTCGCTGCTACGTGTCCTAACTTAATTTTCAGTGATGTGATTGACAGGATCGTTTTTGATGTCTAGATATTCTGCACCTCCCGGACACTCACAATCTGAAAAATTCAATGAAAAATTCAGAAGCAAACACACCGGCACAGTATTTTGTCATGTGATCAATGCCGTTCACAAGCAATACGTATGGAATGTTCCACTATATTATTATAGACATCAGCGGGCACTTTGAATTTTTAAAGGGAGCATGACACGGTTCAGACATTGGGTAAGTGGGCAAAAACATTGTAGAAAACGATAACACATGTCGAATGCGAGCACACAAATGAGTAGTGATGATTTTATATTAAGTCTTACAGCTTTTGGCTCAATCGTGAGTTTGGACAAATGTTAATTGCCTTTTCTTGAAAATTCAATAGTCAATAAACATAAGATATTTGATTTCAATTCAGATAACTAATAAAACTGAACGAATTCAGTGTAAACACGCCGTAAGGACTCCGTAAGTTCAATCTTTAGATGTTCAGTGGAATGCCACACAAAGTTACTCAACACTCCACACCACATACTTGATCATCATCATCATCATCATCATCATCATCATCATCATCATCATCATCATCATCATCATCATAATCATCATCATCAGCATCATCATCATCATCATCATCATCATCGGCATCCCAATCATCATCAGCAGCAGCAGCCTGACTGCGCTCACTGCAGAGAAAAGGCCTCTCCCGTGATCCGCCAATCAACACGGTCTTGTGCTTTCTGCTTTCCACTTTATACCTGGCAACGTTTTAATCTCATCTGCGCACCTAAATTTCTGTATCTCCTTCAGACGTTTACCCTCTGTAGGACTCCAGTCAGTTACCCTTAACCACCAGTGGTTATCTTGCCAACGCGCTACGTGGGCGGCCCATGTCCATTTCTTCTTGATTTCAGCTATGACATCCTTAACCCCGGTGTGCTCCCTGACCCACTCTGCCACTGCTTGTCTCTTAAGGTTACAACTATCATTTTCCTTTCCACCGCTCGCTGCGTCGTCCTAAATTTAGGCTTAACCACCAGGTTTCTGCTCCTCAGGTAAGTACCGGCAAGGCGGAGCTGTTATATACTTTCTTCTTGAGCGCTAGTGGTAGATTATCATTCATGATTTGAGAATGCTCGCCGATTGTGATCCACACCATTCTTATTCTTATAGTTATTTTGCTCTCATGGTTAGGCTCTGCGGTTACTGCGTGTCCTAAATAGACATATTTCTTTACCACTTCCAATGAGTCTCCACTTATCACATAGCACTGTTTTCTGACGATACTCTTGCACATTACTTTAGTTTTATGCATAATAATTTTATGCCTACTTTTCAGCTTCGCGTAACCGGTTCTGTCATCATGAGCTGCAATTCATCCCTTAAGTTACTCATCAAGGCAATGTCATCCGCGAATCGCTGGTTGCTAAGATACATGATTCAAGGGTACATGAATTTCCTGCTGCGTCCCGCAGTTATCAATGCGACTGGTAAGTACACCCTACCGGCTTAATTGTTGCTCCATCTGTCGACATGATTGCTTTCAACAACTGCCCCCCCCCCCCGTGAATTGCAACGAGATTCGGGATTAATTTGCCGGCGTTTCACATGGGTTTGTGTCCCCGCGATTCCGCGGTAAGCGCATCCAGCAGACGACAGCCGTGCTGCCGTGGAACGCTCCTACGCGTTCGCGCACTCATTGTGCTCATCTGTTATACCGCGCCTAAGCCAGCGTTTCCAAACCATCCCAAAGAAACAGGCAGTAGACCTCAAAACAACGCTGAAAGAAAAAAAAAAACGCTGCTCACGTGCACGGGGGTTAGGCTTTCTCAGCCACGTCATGCGCACGTGACCTCTTTGGTCGAATGCCGGAGAGGGTAGGGAACAGATTTGGCTTGCGAAGGCTACTCGGAGGAGCGGCAAGGGTTACGAGCTCGTCCTCTCACCCTCGTTTCACACCACTTAAAAAAAGTAGTTTTCTCAGCTTCTAATGAAACGATTCAAAAACTATTTGTGGCAAAATGTTTCTCATCGGTGACCCAACAACTACCGCGGTCTAATTACAATTTGATATGGGTCCTGGTGAATGGCCCTTTAAGGAGATTCGCCCCAACAACGCCGCCCGCATCTTGCCACGGGGGGGGGGGGGGGGGGCTTGCGTAAATGCGTCGCAGAGTAATAAAGGTATCACGCGAATGTGACAAAGTTAGTTACGGTTTGGGAATGCCTAATGGTTATTTCGTCTTTATTATTTTTATTTATTGAATGAAGGAGAAGCGTTGCCTTGAGCAAGTGGTGGGACGCTGATGTGCATTCCAGGGCCATATACCGAGTGGCCAGTAAATGGTTGTGCAGCTCGAGCAGTAGGTTTTTTTCTTGCAGATACTGCCTGCGTCGGCCTAGAGAGGCGAGAGATGGTTTGGGAATGCTTGTTATTTTGTCTTTATTCTTATTTATTGAATGAAAGAGAATCGTTGCCTTTAACGAGTGGAGGGACATTTAATTGTTTGATCCAGTGTTTGTGGCGTGGCCATTGAGCGATTGTGCAGCTCGAGTAGTCGGTTTAGCAGACGCTCCCTGCGTCGGCCTTGCAAAACGCGAGAGGGGGGGAGCAAACAGTTGGCTCATGACGCAAGCATGGCGCACGATACGCGAGGCGCAATCATGCGCAGAAGGGGTGTGGAGAACGCCAACGCACGCAGCCGGACACCGTGCGACTAAGAAATGTTCCCAAATAAAACAACCCCAAGTTTTCTCTCACACCACCCGTCGCACTTAGCACAGCGCTCAATCACTCATATTTTACTCAAGTCTTCGTTTTCTCGAAGAAAAATGTGTACCATGTTTTCGAAGAGTGGAATTAGTGTTACAACTGTGTTGAACACCGCTCAGTTTTTAAGGTGGCTACTGAATTTCCGTATATTTTGGATAAATATGACCTATCAATCATACTATCGAATCGTTTGCTTGGTTTCCCCTAGAGCTGATTTTCGCTTCCACTCATTACGTATTTTTCGTAAATTTGCACAAAAACTTGATCAATAAATGCATCCGAACGACCCACTGCGAAATTAGACCACTCATTTTGCAGAGGGATCGCGGATATTAATGCGTGAAACTTTTTTTATCACATATCTATTGAAAAGAAGGCACATATTCTTCTATATACCACAGCTGTGTTAGACAATTTTGACAGCGGAAGCGAGGACGACCATATAAGCAAAAACAATTTCTTGGTGCATAGTGGCGAGCTTCCGAGAGAAGGTTGTTGAGGAGGAAGAAGAGTGTTCAAGGTGTGGCAGCCACGGTTTCCTTTGCGTGTAGCCCCAGTGCTTGTTGCGATCTACAGCTTCACAGCCTAGCACGAAACACGGGGGAAACAGAGGTAAGCGGACGCAGGTGTGCAATGCATGATGCGTTGGAAAGCGTGTACGAGAAAAGAAGAAATGTTTTCGACATCAAGGAGTGCTGTGCACGTACACCACCGGCGCACTCGATCGGGCGCGGTGGGCGATCCCTTTTGAATAGTGGCTTTTTCATCCACGTGCTTTTTCATCCAGTGATCGTGCATAAGGTATGCTGGTATGCTGGCCTCACGGTGACTTTTCTTAATGGAATCTAGCAACGAGTGTTGCTAGCTAGCCAGTCAGATAATGGCTCAAGTAGTAGTAGTAGTAGTACAAAACTTTATTATATGCATAATCTAGACAGGCTTGAACTCCAGTGCCCCGAGGAATATACGGGGTGGAGAGCGAAGTCTGTCCGGCAGGGTGGTGCCCCTATTCCAGGGCCCCACTGGCGCGAGCCATCCGTTCAGCTCTTTGGATCAGTCGCAGCTGATCCACTAGGGCTGGGCTAGACAGCAGCGCCTCCCATTCCTCCCACGTGCCAGTGGTGTCGTGCTCTTCGTCGTGCTCTGCACACTCCCACGTGATGTGAAAAAGTGTTGGGGTGGCTCCACGCCACGGGCACATATCTCTGTACGTCGTGGGGTAGATCAGGTGAAGAGTGCAAATAGAATTGACATATTGAAAGCATAACTTTTGATAAATGATTTGCTTATATACGCACAAAGTATTGGGTAAACATGTTGAAAAAGCACTCGACACAGCAAAAAAAAAAAAGGGGGGGGGGGGGGGGTCGGTGTATTTTCGGGAAGATAGAGGCGGAATGAAGTGTCAAGTCCAGGTCTTCTTCACGCTGTGGCACAAGGGAAGTAGGAATTGTGGCATCACACGTGACACCCCACCACTCG